AGCTTGTGGCCAACCAGCTTCAAAATGGCATTGCCACTTTTTTTGGGGTCTGGCCTTCTTTTGTTGCCACACTGAATTACCTCCAGCCTTTTGAAAGCTTCACTGTCTTCAATTGACCAAATGCAATCTAGTGATAATTTCTGATGCGTCCTGTACAATTGTGATTGTGCTGATTGCACAAGTTGGCATCAAAAATGTTTGAAATCTTAGCCTAAAAAGCAAAAACCTTATCAGAATGAAATCTGCTTCAGTCACATCTAGACCGCTTGCAGGGCTCCTGTTATTTTTAGATCCTCTCCTGACCACTTGCACACGTCCATCTGTGATTTCACCATGCACCTCTAACTTGATACTTGCTGTATCAAACTGACTCAAACTTCATGTTGAAAAATCATGTCTTCAACCCAGACACCAAAGAGAAATCTTCTATGAAAGACAGACATAGCCCTAGTCTGAAAGCAGCTTGGGCAATGTTTAGAAACACAACTAGGAGCATGCTTGCTCAACATTTACTGAGTTGTGCACTCTGAATTTGTTATCTGGGGTCAGAATGCAAACAGAGAGTTCTTCTTTAATGTCTGGAGGCATTTGAGTTAGATCATTCACTAACTTTGCATTAAAGGGTAATCTTGGGGCAGATGTATTAAGGCATTTTGCCAGTACAAACTGTGTTTTTGCTGTCGGTATTGACAGCGCAGTGAGTGAGTACTTAGGTCACAGTTTCGAAAGTTGTGGTAGGCTTCAACTCAACTCTGGACTCAACTACTGAGCAGCCCTTTAACAAAAAAATAAAGCAAAACAATATTCGTCTATCATGTTTTACAGCGAATGTTATATTATAAACAACACTTTCCAGAGTCAGAAATAAAGGTTCATCGCAGATAATGCCACTTGTTCACTCACAGGTTTCGTGTTAATTCTAACACCTTTCGCTAAGTTATGTGCCTGTAGGTGTCTCGACACCATATTGTGCATCTCTCGCTGCCTTATTTACAGATCACAGCTGAATCACATGGAAAGGTGTGCGTTTGTGTGCGAGTCACAAGGAAGCTACCGCATCCACGCTCTTTACTCTTTTTTTAAGGTGTCTTTTCCACAAATCCTCAATAATTATATAAACTGAGAGTTGTTCTTTTTTGTTTTGCTGCAAGAAACGGCAATAACTGTTTAAGTATTTTGAAATTATAATTGAGGCTGTTAACATTCTGCCTCAGATGGAAGGTATACAAAGAAAATACAAGACATGTGCATCTCCCTTTATCTGTGCTGAGCTAAATCACAACGGGTGGGCCAAACTAATCCATATGCACTCGTACAGGAATGTCACATGTGTCCATCAGTACTGTAGGGATAGTACCTGCTCTTTTTTTCCCCACTCTTTCAGAATGATGGATTAGAAAAAGCTATAATCTAGTCTGTGTGTATGTGAGTGTTTATGTGTGCGTTTGTATCCCGAGGCCAGAAGCAGTTGTGTGGAAACAAATAAAAATGCCTTCAGTCAATCTGTGGCCAAACTGTGACACACACATACCGCATGTCTGGACAGATAAAATGCTACTCTATACAGTAGCATAAGCATCGATGAAGAGAGCTTTGTGTGTGTGTGTGTGTGTGTGTGATTGGGGTTTGTGCTTAATGGGCAAGCGCTGGGAACTGGATGTGGGAAATGTACGGTAGCGCTGGGGTGCAAACACAACAAGAACAAAAAAACACAACATTTTGTAAAATACAAGCACGATTTTTGAAATCACTAAATTTCAGACAGCACAGAGATGTTTCCAAAAATAAAAGGCGCGGAAACAGCGGGATAGTTTTTCGTTACCTCCGCCAAGATTTTCTGTTTGCTATTGTTTGTCTGTGTGCGATTCTGTCTGTCAACAAAATAGCACAAAAACTTTTTGAATAAATCCCGATAAAACTTTGTAGTGGGGAAGAGCGAGGTCACATTAACGATCCATTAAAATTTGGTTTACATCCACTGAGGTCTCTGAGGTCAATTTAATGGTTAATTGGTTGAAAATTGACAAAAATCTTATCAATTACATCACATTTGACCTCTGCCCTCTCCTTATATTATTATATATGACCTCCCATATTATTGATCTGAAGGTCAAAGTGATAATAATGCTATATAGAGCTATTTAAAGCTATGTTTCATACTGCCATTGTTTGTATTGACAGCATACAGGCGTATAGGGAATGATATATAGGGATTCTAAATATTACATTAGTTTGGAACTCTGACCTCGTCTTCGAGGTTAAATGATAGCGGTATATGAGAATTCTAAATGTCACATTATAGTTTGCATCCAAATATCATGTCACCTTTGACCTCTGACCTCACTTTCATATTTCATATCTGCCTTTCTTTCAAGTTGCCCCTAAAATCTGTCTCTTTAAAGAAGGTTTTGTTAAGAGAAAGAATGAGCTGCCTAGTTAGTTAGTTAATGGGTACATTACCCATTACCTGTTCCTGCATTATAATAAAGCTTAGTTTGAAAGGACAGAATCATAAAGTGAAGAACATTAAGCTCTTTTTTCAGCTGTCGTTGTGTTTTCTAAAATGCCCTGTTTTAATTTTTGTTGCGTTGCATCTCAGGGCCACCATAGCATCAGAAATAAACCATTTCTGAATCGACAATAAGAAACAGAGCGTCAAAAAATGTGTTTAATGCAAAAGAGCGACTACGTGAGATAGCATCGTTTCCCTGGAAGCAGAGGGAACACTTGAAGGACATAAGAAATATGTTAAACAAAGTGATTTTACCTTTATCTGGCGCTGAGAGGTTGGGGTCACTCCTCGGTAAAGTGGTATCACCTATCTGATGAGCAGGGGCTCTCTGCACAAGGAAGAAGTTGTCCAAATTATTGTCTAGCACATACTGCACAAAATTGTATTTGTAACAGAATCACTGACCTGAAAAGCAAAAAGCATTGAGACAAATTTAACAGAACGAGATAAAAGAAGAAGAGTAACAAAGAAAGGCTGCTGTGCGTGACCTTCATAGCAGAGATTTGGATTTTGCAGAAGTAGGAGATGCCTCTCCCCACCAAAAAAGAAAACGTATAAATAAGGTACCTTATTCTTAGTCTCTTGCTCTAATTACAGTAAATGATACAAGCGATCAATGTCTCTAATAATCAATATTCCATTAGCAGCTAATAGCGAGTCTTTCATTGCTGTCAGGTTGGAAATAATTGTTCGCCTCCCTAACATCAATACCTCCAAACTTCAAATGACTCAACACAAACAGGGGGAAGAAAAACAGGTGAACAGTGACAGGCACTGACCGCAAGAGATGAATGGCCTTGAAAGGCAAACATTATTTTTCTCTTATCGTGGCTTTGTCACTGCAGATAGAGTGTGTGATTGTGTTACAGTCTGTCCTTCATCGAGAAAAGAAGCTGCAATATCATAGCGCTCGTGTCGGCTCTTGTTGTTGTTGTAGCATTAGTTGGCTGTAAAGGATTTTTATTTATTTCATCTTTCTTGCTAACAGGAAAAAAGTGAGCTGGACTGTTTGACTTTAATAAAACATGAGTAACATCAGCAGCTCTTGAAAAACTGCACTTCTATGCTACGAATAGCCTCACGGCGTGTGCCCTCATCCGGAAGCCTTTTTTTTTTGACAGTCACTCATTGAAATATATTGTACATTGCAAAGGTGACCTTGTTTTCTGCCCCAGTATGCACCTTACGTGTGGCTGCAGAGCTGGACAAATATAGACCCTGCTTCTTCTTTGCCTTTTTTGTTAAAATCAGGCAGCCACACACTTGGATGACAGATTGTGACATGAGCAGGCCTAATAGCAAAAGAACCATCTGTAAGGGCCACAACTGAGAGAAAAATGACTATTCCTCCATTCATTACCCTCCTAAGAAAAAATAAATAAATAGCACACTCCCTTCAGCCAAAACCACCAGTTTTGAGTGTGGCGTCTATTAAGTTAGGTAGCAGTGGTCAACCCTGCAGTGCTTCAGTGTTCGGGAATGAAAAACAGCACCATAGCTGCTGAATTCAACCAAAAAACTGGCCCAGAATTCAAGAGTGGAGTGATATAAGCTCCAGTAGATTATGTTATCGGTTTTCTCACCGCTGTAATCCTCAGCTTTTGCCCGCTGTTAGTGGCGCATGAAACGGGATTTCAAGCTCGGTGGCTGGATGCCTCTTGCCGAAACATTCCCCCATCGGCACTGCAGCCTAGTTGTCATGTAAGTACACAGTGGCGCCGTTGACTTTATGAACCTAAACTTATTTTTTCAGATAGTTCATGCTGGATGTTCATGTTTTTCAAGTTCACACTGTGAGGTTGGGAACCTTCACTTTCAGACACAAGCCTTAATCTCCTCCCCTGTAACTCTGTAGCTATCTCTCGCTTACTTTTATAAATATGCCAACCTCATTACTTGATACCTACTCCAAGTTTAATATAAGTATCTACCACTGTAATAGTATATACAACAATCTGGGATAACACTGTGATCACCTGCTCAATATTATGTTGGTCCCTGCCTTTGCCCTTACCTATTAAGGCATGGACTCCACTATACCCCTGAAGGTATGCTGTGGTATCTGCACCGAGATGTTACAAACAGATCTTTTAAGTCAGGGGTAGGCAACTCCAGGCCTCGAGGGCCAGTGTCCTGCAGGTTTTAGATCGCACCCTGGGT